TTTAAATCTAACTTGAAGATGGACCATCTGAGTTCTCGACCGTTAGATATAAAACTTTATAATAGGGATGATGACTATTTTTTTTTCTTCGTTTATCAGGTAGATTATTAAAAAGTATTGGACACGTATTTTTTCTTTTTTCACATAATATAAACATTGCAGAGATATATTGATTTGAATAGTCGCATGACGTCACGTTTGAGTACACTTATAAGGGAAAATTCACTCAAAAGTGACGTCACAAGCCCCTACTCCCAAACTTTGACGCGCTAAAACTTTGTCATTTTTTGGTTGATTGCCCAAAGAAAAAATACGTGTCCATTATTTTTCGATCATCTAACTGACGGACTAAATAGAATTTCGTTTACTGTACCCCGTCATCACCCCTATTAGCTTGTAATTGGCGTATTTTTCGACTACATCAATTTAAATCTAACTTGAAGATCGGCCATCTGAGTTCGACCGTTAGATATAAAAAATTATAATTAAATTCAAACTTGACTCGTCTAACCAGGTAAATTAAAGAGGTTTCCTCTTTCTCTTATCTATTTATCTCACAGTAACTGATACAAGCTGAAATTGCTATCAATTGTGTCAATATTGATAAATTTATAGCTTCAAAACATATAACTTGTGTCCTTATTTCCACTTCCTACAATCTGGGGTCCTTTAAGAGAGGTGTGAAGAAGCATTTTTGCAGACGCGGAAGAATCCCTAAACGGGGATCCCGCGGCTTCGCGCTAAGCAGCTTAGAGGGTGTTCGCAGGGTTTTTTAGCGGATATTGTGCCGTAAAGCGCCCGTAAGGGTTACGGGGTCCTCAGTGGGCAGCCACTGCTGGGGCTCGTAAGGCTTGCGGGAGCCAGGTGTGAGGTCAATTCGGCGGTGTGCCTCTTAAAGGCGCCGACGCGTCGTCTGTAAATAGTATTTTTTGCCTGAGTATAAAAAAAAAGGCCGGCAAGTTGGAGATGGTTGGTGTGGCAGTTTATAACTGCTGTATCAGCTATCTTCGCGTTTGGACTCGATCACCACTTTACATCGGGTGGGGTAGAGTCATTTGCCTATCTGGCTATAAAAGAAAAAAAAAAGCTTTTAATAGTTGAGAAAAGTAAAATATGTTGTGTCAGCTTGGAAAAGAAAAATATTGAACATTTTATCACCCTTATTAAATATCAATCAACATTTTCATCATCATCATCATCAGCCTATTAGTGTCCCCACTGCTGGGGCACAGGCCTTCTCTATGGATGGAATAGGGAGATTAGGCCATGACCCACCACGCGCTACCAGTGCGGATTGGCGGGTGCTAACGACTGCAGATGCAGCCGGGACCAACGGCTTAACGTGCCTTCCGCAGCACGGAGGAACTCGAGATAGAAGATTTTTGGTCACCCATCCAGTGACCGACCACTGCGAAAGTTGCTTAACGTCAATGATCGCAGCCGAGCGCGCTGACCACCCGCGCCATCGAGCTCCAACATTTTCACTTATTGAGAACTATTAATGATCTTAACTACCAAAAGGCTTCACCTTTTATAACTTTCACAATACATTTATGTATTGGCGTCATAATTCTTGACATGTATCTTTTGATACACGTACAGACGACAGGCCACTTTGACGTCAGGCCGGAATAACAAGTGAAAGTCGTAGATAATAATGTTTTTTTTTTATCAGATAATTGTATTAGTAGGCATTATGTATGATGATCATTCAACATTTTATGCTTACTTTGAGTTATTTATCGTACTGTCATATAACCAATTTGAGTTTCACTTAGGCCAATACTTCCTATCCGGTAGTGAGTGAACAAAACGCATCACATAATATATTGTTTTAAACTTTCATGGTCACTAATATTATAGCTATTAGAGTCTGTGCGGAAAGAGAATGGGCGTGGCGAAAAACGGAACTGACATTAAGATTTTTATTTGGCAATCAAACCCAGCAATCTGTAAAACGTCAAAGTTTTGTATTGATTTGAATTTGTTTGTTGTTGTGATTTTTGTATTTCATCATCATCATCATCATCATCTGCCTATTAATGTCCCCACTGCTGGGGCACAGGCCTTCCCTATGGATGGAATAGGGAGATTGGGCCATGACCCACCACGCGGGCCCAGTGCGGATTGGTGGGTGCTAACGACTGCAGATGCAGCCGGGACCAACGGCTTAACGTGCTTTCCGAAGCACGGAGGAGCTCGAGATGGTAATTTTTGGTCACATATCCAATGACCGACCACTACGAAAGTTGCTTAAGTTCAACGATCGCAGCCGAACGCGCTAACCACTTGCGCCATCGAGCCCCTTTAATCATGTCTAAAAGGGGTAAAACCTTACAAATACGGTAGAAAAGCACTACAGCGCCCTCCAATCTAAATCTCATTCTCTTTCCGCACAGACTCTAACGGGATTGTTACCATGTACCTTGTTTTTTTATGACTCCCCAATATTTCGGCACTGTTGCAAGCGCCATGATCACGGAGTAACTGAAGTAATTGAGGGAAGATGTTATTGGCAGACATATCGGTCTACCTCTGACAGCACATAATTATTTGAAACAAAAGTGTTTTAGAACGTTCTTGCTCTGTAAATTGTGATTAGGTTGGTGGCCACTGCCGGATTTAGGGGAGGGCAACCGGGGCGAAAGCCCCGGGGCCTCCACAAACGGGGCGCCCCCACAATAGACTTCGGAAAAAAATCTTTTAAATTCCAAGTAGTAAACACTAGTAAACATCTTTTCCTCTGATATTTTTTTTGCTCTTTTACCTACAGCCTTCAGTGCTTTGTACATCTAACATACATGATTATTTGATTATATTAATCTGAGGGCCGAATTAAAGGCAGGGCAGGTGGGGCTGTGGCCCAGGGGCCTCCACAACAGCTTAAGAAATAACAAAATTTCGATGGGTCAACAAGCATGCAAATCCTAAGTGGCCCGGGGCCTCCACAATCCTAAATCCGGCCCTGTTGGTGGTCTAGGATTCAGATAGGTTGACTGTAGAATAAATATTGTGCCTACAAACATTGATAGATGGCTCATGCTTCTAATAAAATTTGTTACTAGAGAAATTCTTCAGACGGATGCTGTCATTTGAGCCGTCGGTCGCTCAATTGATTCTATTCAATAATGTGTAAGCCAGTGTTCTTTGAATAGAATACTGTTTCACATGATAGTTGGTTTTGAATGCTCAACTTACAGGCTGACCGACCACCCAATACTTAATTTATCTTTAATAAATATAAAATAAATATTAAATATTTCCAACACACACACCAATTAGCCTAGCCCCAAAGTAAGCATTATAAAGCCAGAAACATATTAATGTGTCGTGGCGTGACGTGGCGCATCGGTTTCATACATTTATTATGGGTTAGAGAGAGATAGAGAGGTTAAAGCGTCGACACGACACGATATGTAAATATGTCTCTAACCATAGTAAATGTATGAAACCGATGTGCTTCTGGCGCGCCACGACACGACACGTTAATATGTTTCTGGCTTAAGGCTTGTGTTATGGGATACTAGGGTAACGGATAGAATACATATATTGTACATATATAAGTATATTTATATAGAAATACATATTAAACATCCATGACTGGAGTACAAATGCACGTATTCATCACACAAACATCTGCCCCCACCGGGATTTGAACCCGGGACCTCTCGAGTCGGCGACACCATGAAACCCGGCGTTCAAACCACTCGGCCACGGAGGTCGTCAAATAATAAATAATAATAGTACTGTTGTTCCAGTATGATAACTGGGTCGAGTTGAATTTAGTCTTTTAGAAATTTATTTTGGTATGAAAACGTAGCAGATAATTGTTTAAAATAAAAATAGGATTGCAATGTGGTCATCCCTTTGCATTGGGAATGAAAGTAAATATCAAGAATTCAGTTATAGGAAAAGTTTCGGCAAAACAAAACCCTTAGTACGATATTTACAATTACGAAAACTATGATAGTTTTTTGAGCTCGCTCTCTTATTAAGGGTATTGATTTTATTGTTTTCGTTTCAATACAAATAACCAGCGTTTAAATTCTATCATTGAATCATTTGCGTCTTCTTAAATTTTAAGTATATTTGGTTACTTTACCAAAATGGACATAGAAACATAATTTACAATTACGAAAACTATGACAGTTTTCGCGAGCTCAAACTCGTACTAAGGGTACAGAATACATGCATGTAACGATGTTAAAACTGCAGTATTTGTGATTAATCAATTTAAATATCTGCGCGTTGAATGTCCTAATTCTCGCCCCCCGCAATCTGGTCGAGACAAAACAAATGTGTTCTGAATTCTGCCCTGATATGATAACGTGATACGGCCCATATCGTACGGCGTATTTACGGTCGGCCGTCTGCTCTCTCCTAAAAGAAGGGCGTTACTCCCAGATTAATGTTTTTGATGTGTAACATCTTTCCTCTCGCTTTCCTGCAATTTGTGGGAGTGATTTCGCGGAATGGGACGGAAGTGTGTAACAGGAAGTCGCGAAAGCGCGCGCTATTTGATTTGATGTTGGAACATAATGTTTAAATGGCTTATTCCTATTGTAAAAGGTTTTACTTCTTCTTTTACTAATATAATGGTGAGGTTTTTAAATGATTCACATCATAGGCGACTATTGTAAGGCTCGCTCGTTTTTTTTTTGTATATTGTATCGCCAAAGTTTCTAGAACCAACTGGCTCCTTTTTCCATACAAAATTTGATGATGATGATAAAACAAAGTGACATTGGTCAATGGCGATGCTATTGTGGATCTGTCAAAGTTCTTCCAAACAGTACCCCACTGTTCTATGTATTATGATTTGTGCAGTATAGTTAGCAGCTGGCATTTTCGTTACGTTTTCAGCAAATAAAAATCTAATTGTCGACGTTAATATAGTCATTAAGTTTCTAGAAATTTTAATAATCCTCAAAATATATTCAAATAAAGATTGAGGAACTCGATGGCGCAAGTGGTTAGCGCTTTGGCTGCGATCGTTGAACTTAAGCAACTTTCAAAGTGGTCGGTCGTTGGATGGGTGACCAAATTTACTATCTCGAGCTCCTCCGTGCTTCGGAAGGCACGTTAAGCCGTTAGTCCCGGCTGCATCTGCAGTCGTTAGCACCCACCAATCCGCACTGGGCCCGCGCGGTGGGTCATGGCCCAATCTCCCTATTCCATCCATAGGGAAGGCCTGTGCCCCAGCAGTGGGGACATTAATCGGCTGATGATGATGAAAGATTGTAAAAATAACAAAAAAGAATCAACAAAACCTTATCTTATTCATTGCTCTCGTTTCAAGGTGAGTAATCATATCTAATGTCTTCTATTATAATTAAAAACAACGCCAATGACTCCATTATACAATAAATAACAGACAGATAATGTACAAAGGTTCGTTTTCTACACCAACAATGCTGGAATTCAAACTCGGAATTTATGACTAGGCTCACAGAGTGTTATGATGTCGTCACATGCAGTGTTGCCAGGTCCGATTTTTAAAAATCTGGAGTCGTTATAGAAAAAACAGTAGATGTATGGAAAGAGCTAAAAAAACAGTAGATGCAGAGGCGTACTTTTTCAATCAAATCACCTTTATATTATAATTATTTATGACGGAAAATGCAATTTAAAAAAGAAAATCGTATTCTAAAAAAACAGGAAATTCATCTAGAAAAACAGTACAACAGAAGAAATTTAAGAAAAACAGGAGATCTCCTGTAAAATCTGGAGACCTGGCAATACTGGTCACATGGCCACGAAGGTCGTAAGCATATGTGATTTTTACTGTTATAATAACGATATTTGGGTTTAGCACGAGCGGTAGTATCGACAAACGCATTATCGACACGCGTAAGTCTTCCCGAGTTCAAGGGCGGTACGCAGCTCGACGGACACGCCGACTCGCCGACAATGATAGCTTTATCATTGAATATTATAAATGCACTATACGCCACGCCAGTCAATGCACTAGGAAACGGACGATTCAACTAATTGTGATTTCTCGTGATATCAAAATTGGTTATCTGCTTATTTCCTAGCAAACGCTGCGATTGCGCGAGTGGTATCCTTTAATAATTAATGTTTTTCCATGATTCTGAAATTTATATCACAGATAGTGTAAAGAAAACAATGGTGTCGATTCTGGCAGGGTTCTTTAAACCTAAACTTAAATTTGACAACAGTGTATCCTTGTCATTCTCTATACAGAGGGAAAAGGAGAGGCTGATGTTAAATTTAGCTTTAAGTTTAGAGAATCATGCCGGAATCGACACCAATACCTACTTAAAATATTTTTTTACCCATTTGGTTTGTTTTAGGTAGGTTTTTTAAATATTAGGGCTCTTTTCCTTGAATAAGTTAGTCCTTTTTTATTTTATTATGTTAATCAATGTAATTACTCATGCAATGAATGCAACTTTGCCAACGTAATGGTAGCTTATTGATGCCTTGTTTGAAAAAGTCTGCTGGACGGGAGGCAACAAATTGTTTAAAGGCATCTTAACTGCCTCTCGGTTATTGACTTTCCCCGCTAAGAATTTATCCGAATTCTGGAAAAAGTAGTAGTCTGTAGGGGCAAGGTCTTGATGGCTGGGGATGCCCATGATGCTCCAGGGCATCCCCAACACTCTCTTCTTCCGGGGGGAGAGGGGTGTGTCCGTTCGACTCGGACGCTCACTGGTGAGGTCGCGGAAGATTCCGTAAGGGTACCCATGGCCTCATCTAGTGCTGTTGTCTCAACCACGCTGGTTGGGACCGTGGACCGAGTGAAGTGAGGGGCATCGTCAGGTTTTTAGTGGGTAGGGCTCCCCCTCCTGGGCGGTCGCTGAGCTAGTCCCAGGACTGGCTGAGCGGACGGGTCGGGAGGAGTCCCACAAAACCCCGTTGCCACTCCCAGGTGGCGGGGTATGCGTCACGCATTTTCCTGACGAAAAAAGAAAAAAAACTGGACAGACAAGAAAGGTCTGGACCTTGCCCCTTTTCATACTGCCCAGGGAGTATGGTGGATGACGAAGAACTTCCAACCCCAGCTCTAGTGACTTGGTGACCGTCTGCTGTGCAGTATGAGGTCGTGCGTCGGCGTGCAGGAGCAGCGGAGCCGAACGATTGACTAAATCTGCTTGGAGATGTGCGAACTTCTCCTTCATTTTGTGTGCCTGTTTTGCAGTGCAAGGCTCGACTCGACGCGTACTTCGCGTTGGCGATCATTCAATTCGTGGGGCACATATTTGTCAAGCTGTTTACCTTGCCAATTTGACGGAACAGGCCCAATATTTTATTGTTGCTAACATTGAAAGCTGCTGCTAATTCAGCTGTAGATTGAGAATCATCAGCTTCACAATAAACGGGGTTCATTTCTTAGTCCGAAATGTTCAGAACGGTAGAGGGCAAACCAATAACGGGTGGTCCGATCGTTAGAAGTATTCGCTGCGTATACGTTGCTGCCACTTCTGTACTCATACTCCATAATCACTCGAATTTTTGACATATCCATGATGACGAAAAGTGGACAAATGCGCTGAAAACAGAACATTAATTATTAAACAAATTTTCAAAAAGCTCATAATATAGAATTCTTAGCGAAAAAAGAAAAAAAGGACTTGAAATAGCCAGTACGGTAGAACAGCAATTTCATAAGTAAAGATCTATTGTCTGTTCGTGATAGTTCGGAAAACTTATCTAATCATATATGTACTTAAAACACAAAGCACTACAGACTTTGAACATTTTCAATTCAATTATAATCGATTTTAATTACTCAACAAGATGCTCGAACAAGGAACATAATGGACTTTGTTTAATTTTATTTAATACATACATTTTTAATGTGGCCAATAAAACCAAAGGCTAATTAATAGACGTTTACCATTTTTTCCAAATTTAACTTTGGGTTTACATAATCATGCCAGAATCGACACCAATGACGCTGTTAAATGTATGAAATAAAGAAAATAAAAAACAAACAAAAACCAGTGAACTTGGTCCTTCGAGCATTCCGTTGAAATGCTCCCGAAAAAATCTCGTTTGCGTGTTATTGCAACGAACATAATGGTATTGCAGGACACATTCGGGCGCGCCAAGAACTGGGTGAAGGAACTGCAGCGGCAGGCGTCGCCGTCGATAGTGATCGCGCTGGCGGGCAACAAGAGCGACCTGGCCGCCAAGCGCATGGTGGAGTTCGAGGAGGCGCAGGCATACGCCGACGAGAACGGCCTGCTCTTCATGGAGACCAGCGCCAAGACCGCCATGAACGTCAACGATATATTCCTCGCCATCGGTCAGTATACTATTCTTCTTCATGCTTTTAGGGTTCTGTACCTTAAAAGGAAATCAAATGAAATGATACTATATTCTTTTTTTTTTATAGCTAGGTATGACTCTACCCCACCTGATGTTAAGTAGTGATAAAGTCCAAACGCGAAGATAGCTGGTACAGCATTCTTTATTCAAAATACTTTATTCAAATTGACTTATTGAGAACACTTTTGAATAGTCCAATAAATTTTCCTAATTTTTTAGGACATTTTTTAGCTTATGGGAAGAATAGACGTAAGAAACTCATCAGCATTTAACAGAAGTAGCGACATTTTCAAGAACATCATGTCGATCACAAAACCGTTGTATTGCAATCAAAATGTGAGTGGACGTTTCCGCTCACATTTTGATTGCTGTGTTAAACAGTATAAATACAAACAGTGTTAATATTAAATAGAATAGATAGCACCTTACGAGTAACGCGGTATAGAGCAGACTCATCCCCGCTGGCAGCACCCGTTCACGAGCATGGCGCATGAATCAGCCATCGCTTCGCTCAACCATATTTTAGGGAACGTAACGACCCGCCTCACACGGTACGGAACCCTTATAGGATAGCTTTGTTTGTCCGTCTGTCAAGAACCACATTATAAGGTCTACAGTCTCTCGAAACTGAAAAAAAAAATGGATGCGTGTAACTTATGTACGCGCGTGAGAAGTTATACTTCTTTAGCATCATTAAAAATATTTTTTAATTGCATGCAAATAATTAATAATTACAATAAAATAATAAAAGGACTGGAAAAGGATAGTTAACACAGTCAATTAAGTTCAGTTTTAATTTGAAAAATTAAATAAATATTCAATTAAAATCACTACTGAATTTAAGTTATTAGTCCATATGTAATTAGCACTTGTAAGTAACTAAAACACGTTGTGTCTATATAGAAACTAGAAACATGTGGATAAATATTATAAATATGAAAACAGTGATCAGAGGCGACAAGCGTGCCAACATTGTTTTTGACAACGCGATCATCTTATGGAGCTCCGTGGATCGTTCAAAGTACCTTTCGAACAGATGATTTCGAACCACTTAGTGGTTAATAATCCACCATTATTAGACACTAACATTCATAACGCGCCCGCGGCCAACTTCATGCTGTTACTATTGTGTTACAGTGATGCGCGCGCATCTCGAAATTTCACTCACATGATTTTTTCATAACGCGCCCGCGGCTAACTTCATTATGTTACTTTTGTGTTACAGTTATGCGCGCGCATCTTAAAATTTCACTCTCATAATTTTTTCATAACGTGGCTAAAGAAGTATAACTTCAAAAGTATACGTAAAGGTACGGAACCACCGGTGGGCGAGTCCGACTCGCATTTGTAGTTGAGCAGGCAAACGAGATAGCAGTCCATCTGATGATAAGTGATCACTGCCGCCCACAGACACTTGCAACACTCATACACTACTTTACTCCGTTTTCTGATAAGGCAAAATAGCCCGATAGTCGGCTGTATAAAAGTCATATGGAACAGATACATGAATAATTTTTGGGGTATGAACAATAAAGTCATTAGGTCTAGAGGTCGACACCCCTGAAGTTGCTTGTTTTTGCCCGCATGCAATATTATGACGTCACTTCCGGTTTTTATTTTAGGTGTAATTGTAATTTATGAAATTCATCAAGAAAATTTATGTCAAACAAAAGTGTTTGATGAGTAAAATAGAAATGTCAGGGGTCGACAAGCTTTATTTATGCGCTAGCTACCATGAGTGGACCACCATTAAATTTTTTTTTTATTTATCTTTAGTCATCGAAAACATGGACTTATTTGATACAATTAACCATTAATTTTACACATAACTATCGTCATAAAAATCTACATCATTAATAACATCATCGCTATAATTCGAAATATTACCATTATCGTCGTTGTTGTCTGCAATGCTATTTCCATCATAGTTGAATTCGGCAGTATTATCGTTCTTCATACTAAGTCGACATTCAGATCCGGGCAAATTAAAGGTGACGACCAATTATTTTCAGTCATTTGAGAGGTTCTAATTTCAGAAAATCGTAAACAAATCCATGTATTCGATGGCTTAAGGTAAATTTAAAAAAAATGGTAGTCGACTCAGGGTAGCCCATAAATAGTGCTTGTCGACCCTTGATATTTCTATTCTACTCATCAAAAACATAACATAAATTTTCTTGATGTATTTCATAAATTACAATTACACCTAAAATATAAACCGGAAGTGACGTCATAATATTGCAGCTGTTCGCAAGCAAAATGGTTTTCTATCAAATAAACCACTTTACGATATTTTAAAATAGCAAAATATTATGATCATTGAGTTAATTACAGAATTGTTGATGCACAACAGATACAATATTTTTATCAATTTATTATTCTTAGTAGTTGTTCTATTTGTAAGATTTTTGTTATGTTAATATTAAACAAGATAGTGATGGCTGGTACTGCGACATTAAGACACAAATAATGCATGAGCATAAATATAACGCTCAAAGCTCTATATCAACAATGACGACATTTTGATGGTGTTTGAAAACAGTATCCTAAAATTATATCCAAAAGTATGCAATGTTAGCGAAAGATTCAAGTTATATTTTTTTAAGCTTAAGGGTCTGCGCTGCGTTAAGCGGGAGTACGGATCGGACGTCCACTCCGCGTGTTTATTAATGTTATTTCATGTCGCAGCGCTGCGTGAGGCGGGTCCCCCGTGGTAGCGTTACTCTATGTAAATGACATGAAACTGGCCATAAATAACCATAATTAGGCAAAAGTTTACCACACGCAAGAGTTCTCATAATTGGGATCCTTTGACAAGTGCAATGTTGATTCAGTTTAGTAATATCATATTGTTGTCTAATGCATTTATGTAACTATTGGTATAGTTAAATATAAATAAAAACCTGCCCTCATTATCAAGGCAACAAGCCAAAGTCTCCACATCATATTAAAACTTGTTGTTTCGTATTGGAGACTACTTAAAAATGTCATGTGATGAAATGAAGGCACTGACGCCATAATAGGTATGTAGGATAGGTATTATACCTGATAGACGATAAAAAAATATTCGACACTGTTGTTTTTTCTTTTTTTGATATAGGTATACATAACATTACAGTCGCCCTAGCATGAACACCACGATATGATATATAACGCGTCTCTATCACGCTCAATTGTCAAATTATTATGGAGTTTGACAGTTAGACGCGATAAAAAACGTGATATAACTCAGAGCGTAGGCTTGGAATGCAGCCTCCGGTATTGAGTAATCAAATAAATGGCCGATGAAACAATACCCTGCCTCTCGACCCGTGCGGTAGTGATTTATGTACGTATAATGCGATTCAAATAAGAATAGGAAAGCCAATGACCTCCAACTGTCAAATGTCGTTTGAAAAGTACGGTTTACAAAAAAATCCTTGGAACCCTTTTTTAGCACTTTGCTAATTCTAGATTAAAAACCACACATTTGTAAACAAACAATAACAAATATTGGTTAATATTTTTTTTCATTTATTGAGCTTTGACCATGAATGGTTGATAACCTAACGTCAACCAAATGTCACTTTAAGTTGCGTTCAGAAACTCAATTTAAAACTTTCGTTTACCTAACGGATGCATGTTAGTATGTAACACCTAGTATTATAAAACCTCACTTAATCTTAGTTAGAAGTTTTATTAAATAAATTCTTTTTTTTGCTCACTCTACTTATTTGGTTTGAATTGACAGCTATGACGTCAAAATATGGCGCCCAGTCGGTCCTATTCTTAGTTGAATCGCATTATATGTTTTTCATCGGACTCGGAAAGCAGAAATATTGTTGATGCAAACAAAGTGTAGGAAACGAAGTTTTGTGTTGTTGAATGTTGATTGTGTAGGGCAAAACACGCGCTAGAGACCTTTGTCTTCGGTTCAACATCGACGATATGGTTATTTGATGTTTGTGTAGGTCATGATTCTTTCAAAGTTCGTGCTTGGGTACTGAAGTATAGTTTGTTTGTTGGTGCAGCGAACAAGTTACCAAAGAGTGAGAGCGGCGGCGGTGCCGGCGGGGCGGGGGGAGCGCGGCGCCTGCAGGACGGGGACACACCGCGCGCCTCCACCTGCTGCAAGTGATACGACGCGCCCCGTGAGTACTGGGGGGGGGGGGGGGACACACCGCGCGCCTCCACCTGCTGCAAGTGATACGACGCGCCCCGTGAGTACTGGGGGGGGGGGGGGGGGGACACCGCGCGCCTCCACCTGCTGCAAGTGATACGACGCGCCCCGTGAGTACTGGGGGGGGGGGGGGGGGACACACCGCGCGCCTCCACCTGCTGCAAGTGATACGACGCGCCCCGTGAGTACTGGGGGGGGGGGGGGACACACCGCGCGCCTCCACCTGCTGCAAGTGATACGACGCGCCCCGTGAGTACTGGGGGGGGGGGGGGGACACACCGCGCGCCTCCACCTGCTGCAAGTGATACGACGCGCCCCGTGAGTACTGGGGGGGGGGGGGGACACACCGCGCGCCTCCACCTGCTGCAAGTGATACGACGCGCCCCGTGAGTACTGGGGGGGGGGGGGGACACACCGCGCGCCTCCACCTGCTGCAAGTGATACGACGCGCCCCGTGAGTACTGGGGGGGGGGGGGGGACACACCGCGCGCCTCCACCTGCTGCAAGTGATACGACGCGCCCCGTGAGTACTGGGGGGGGGGGGGACACACCGCGCGCCTCCACCTGCTGCAAGTGATACGACGCGCCCCGTGAGTACTGGGGGGGGGGGGGGGGGGTACTGCGCCTTTTTATTTATTGAAGTTATACTTCTGCGCGGTATGAAAAAATGATGAGAGTGAAATTTTAAGATGCGCGCGCATCACTGTAACACCGCACCGCATTGTGTTTACCGCACATTAAGAAAATCTACCAACAAAATAGAAATAGAATCTCTATTTAGTGGGTGCTAACGACACAACTGCATTGTGAAGGCCTATCAAAAGTATTTATTAATCTGGAACAACGGAACCAAAGCGCGATTCAGGAGACTACAGCGCCATCTCTTGACCATTGGTGTAGTAGAACCAAAAACCACATCTTTATTTTTTGTAATAAAGTAACAGTTATAGGTATTCATATTTATAATATCAAAAGTATTTATTAATCTGGAACAACGGAACTAAAGCGCGATTCAGGAGACTACAGCGCCATCTCTTGACCATTGGTGTAGTAGAACCAAAAACCACATATTTATTTTTTGTAATAAAGTAACAGTTATAGGTATTCATATTTATAATATTTATCCACATGTTTCTAGTTTGTATATTCGGAATTCGTGTTTGAGTTTCATACAAGTGCAAATCACATATGTTCTAATAAATTATATTCAGTAGCGATTTTAATTGAATATTTTGATTATTTATTTATTTTTTCAAATTAAAACTGAACTTTATTGACTGTGTCCTTTTCCAGACTTTTTATTAATTTATTGTAATTAATTATTTGCATGCAATTAAAAACTAATTTTAAACGATGCCAAAGAAGGATAACTTCTCACGCGCCTACATAAGTACACGCACCCATTTTTAATATTATTTCTTCACTGCCGCAAATCGACTAAGCCTTAACATTTCTTTTATTTAGAGCACAGTAAGCTGTTGAAGACACCCCACCTGATGTCAAATATAAATAAATGTCAGTCGAATTCTGCAATGTTTAATTACGACCTATGTTTTCAATACCTCGATAAAAACTCGTAACTAATATCGTATTATACGCAATATAGAGCATAGAATGAGTAAAACTATATTATATGTATGAAAATCAACTCTCGTGATAAAAATCGAGGAGGAATCAGTCGAGAACGTTTGTATGGAAAAAAACATTGCCAGCTTTACCTCTTAACGAAGCTTGTTTCATAGTCTAACACACATATTTCTTTATATTTACAGACACGGTCGTAGTACGGTGAGGGCGTGAGCGGGGATTGAGGCGCGCAGTAGGCTGTCTAAAGTAACACTCGGAGTCCCCCCCCCTCTTCCCACTCCCATTACCCCCCCTCCACAGCATTTCCACGTCGCAGGGGACTCCGAGACACCAGCCTGCCAGCCCCGCGATCCATAAACGAAAGCTAATCATAAAACGGTAACTAGATTTAAAAAAGGAAAAAGCAACTTGTCTGTAACAATAATGAGATGTAATGAAATGTTATTATTATGTATATTAAATTCGGTTTGTATCATGTTTCGTAGACGGACGGTCGGCTGCATTGTCCCTGTGTAGTTGACGGGTTTATTAACGTATGAAGTTTTTGAAATTTTTCGTTTTCACGACAGCCTGTGTGTCGTCTCAGGGTGTAATTGAGTCGACGGCGTTACGTCACCTCTTCTGTTGGGTGAAAGAAAATATGACAGCTTCTAGAATAAACTATATTCAGATGGTCGACTTTGGATTTGTGGCGACGCTCCGCCTACTGAACTGCGTCCTGGGGGGCTGTACTGTGCGTCCGTAAACGACACTTCAGATATTGATAAATTTGAAACAGTTGTGTTTCAACCAATACGTTACAATTATAAGCCTTATCAACGCAGAAAATCACAAAGAAAAACAGCCAAATAGCTATCAATTTTCATTGCGGTCGTACGGCACAGCCTCCCCTCACTCCTCACGCGAAGCCCTAAGCTTCATAAGTATCGAAATTCTGGTGAAGGTGCATTTACATTCGCGTTCCATTAATGTGTAACCGCATCGAAGAGACCGACTAGTCGGTCGACCAACGAAGGGCCTCGGAGGAGATCGGCTCTGCTCACTAATATAAAATTTCCCGTACGTTTTATTATTATTTACGTTCAAATGAAATAGTGTAGAAAATTGGAGAGCACGCAGCCGTCTCCCCGCGTGCCGTTCGCTTCGCCTATCGCAGTATCATTCTACCCACAAGGTCCTAGGCTAATTTCAATCACCTCTTCACTTTGCGTCTGTTCCGTGCGTTTAGATATTCAATCAATTTGTTAACACCGCATCCGACACGTATACGCAACTTAAGTGTTCATATCTGAACGCGCGGGACACACTCCATTTCTTGTTTAGTTCAAAATAAATATATGCATAGAGTTATTTAAATTAGATTTACACGTCTCAGTTAGATCGTTATATAGTTATTTTTAAAAGGAACTAATAAAATTATTTGATGGACAATTCGTTCTGCTATTATGTATATTGCTATCTGTATAATTATATATATAAATATATATGATATATATATTTCTGTAAGTGAAGTGTAACGCTGTGTGGGTCTCAGCCGTGACGTGTTATATATACCTGTCGCATTCCATGTACGGGGGGTTTATGGGCTTGTGGAATCTGTACATTGTTACAAATATATTATGTTTATGTGAAGGACGGAGGCGTCGAACCGCGTCCGCTGTACACTGGCCAGTGCGCACGCGCAATATTATCGTCTCTACCTCGCGACAGCGGTCACTGCAATACTAAACCTTATTTCGCCGTTGTTCACAAATCCCAAATCTTAGTTTGCGCCTATAGATATTATACGGCAGGAGATTTTTACGACACGAACATGCCTTTTTTATTCTATGGCTTGTTTTGTGTTTTCACAATTCCGCCAATATTCTTCAATAGTTAAAGATCCTTTAAGTGGAATTTCATTCAGTATTTTCGCTTTGCTAGCCGAGTCATTGAAATTTCTACTTAATTCACGTTGAATATATATAATATACAATGGTGTCGATTCTGGCTTGATTCTCTAAACTTAAAACTAAATTTAACATCAGTCTCTCCTTTTCATTCTGTATAGAGAATGACAAGGATACACTGTTGTCAAATTTAAGTTTAGATATAGAGAATCATGCCAGAATCGATATAAATAACCATTATGATTATTAACTACTGACTTTCTGCTGCAATTTAAGTTATATTCCAATAGGAGGCACAGAAATTGTTCTCTATTGGGCTCAGGCGTTTTAAGGTTCAATTTGGCGCGATAATTGAGTAAACCTTTGTTGTTATCGCTGTTGCGAGATGTGAGGCAGCACCGGTCCCGTTGCACTCATACTCTGTAAGCATAAGTCGTCCTTAACAAATACAAGCTTCTATGTAGGAAATGAAATTAAAGTTTGTTACGAAGTAACCCTTATAATTATTTGAATATGTGATAATATGGGTATACATTGTAGTCGTCGACGCGTGCATGCACGCTGGCGTGTGTGTGCGGCGTGGGCCGAACGTGTATCTTTAAAGTTTAAAGTATAAAGGCTTGCGTCACCTGATTTTTTGTAGTACGTATTTACATTAGTAATTGAAAAATGGTTTATTTATCCGAGCGCTATGGAATGAGAACATCTGCATGTACTGACGAGTCCCAGACTTGGTGTTGTTCTGTTGATATTATAACAAATCCGCTTTTTGTTTTTTAGAGCAATTAAAGTTAATACATTCACTTGTAGAGACATTTGATACGTCCGGTCTGACGTCAGCTCGCAAACTAGGAATGTATTGTTATTAAACTTGTGAGTGAATCTTTAAGGCAATAATCGTATGAACTCGCACTCCATAATGGTGAAAAATTATAAAATATTAAGATATGTCGTAAGGGATTTACGCCTAAAAGTGTTAGGCCGACAACTCGGACTGCACATTTTTAATTTTACGTAAGATAGATAATGAACTGATGTTAGGCGGCGTCACTCTATCACACGTATAGCGTTTTGAATAAGTCACATTTCACCTCTTGTATTTACAATTGAAACTACAAATAGTTTTCAACTAAAAAGTGTACTAATTGTTTATTCTGTACTAAATAGTTTTTTTTTATTATACCCGTGTTCTGGTATGCAAGTCCGCTAGGACTCTTTTTTTTTAAATGTTACTGGCAAAATGTTTAAACAACTAATATATGAATTGTGTTGTTAACGGCTGCATACCATTTATAGGTACAATTAATATAAAAATACCGCTTTCCGGGTATTACAGTCTCTGCTGCTTATTCACTAAAAGTGTTAAGTCGCAAGTTTGTAAGCGATTTAGTTTTTGTAGAAGCGGATAATGACGCGGGCTAGGGGACGCTGGGCAAGGTAATATTGTATGTTTTTGTATTGTGTAAATATTTTGGATTTATTAAGATTATTATATTGAATAAAAAAATATTGTAAATGGAATCGGGTGTTGTTTTATTTTTAGTGCGTGCACCTTTTTTCTATCTGGTATTTATCATCGTAAGATAATATATTCTGCTACTTATCGCTTCTCTCCATAAAAAAGAAACAAATTGAAATGAAAGGTATTATTATTTACTTACCAAAACAGATACAAATTAATTATATTTTTCTAATTTTTTGAAAGCCACAATTATAAATATAACTTACTTCCTGAACATTAAAATACCCGCATATCTGGAAACATTCAAACAATAATCTATAAACATAATTTGTCTCGTATTTTTACCTCGACTACTCTTGTAGTTATAGAATGATGTTACTTGCAACAAAATTGTGCATAGCATAATGAACATTATTTCCATTGTATAAGATCCCACAGACTACACCGACGGTCGCTAGGGGAATTCTCGAGGATTTCTAGGAAAGACGTACGACCATTTTTTGGAGCTAAATTTTAAAATTAATTAGTTTGTATATAATACAATTGTCATAAACGTATACGTCGTCGTCGTACGTCATAACGTACGTACGTAACGTACATTATGTTACGCACAATTTTGTTTGAAAAACCCACATCCATTCCATTCCGCGGTGGTATAAATTAAGCCTTACTAACATCGATGCAATACCCTCCAATTTTAATTATGGTTAATTTATACTAGCGCAAAGTCGAAGTGCATTGAGCGTAAACCATCCTTATCCCCGCAATGTAATACACATTCTTTCTGAGCTGATAATCAGCGGAATTCGTTCCTTCAAATCATCGCAGAAGGAATATGTACATCACTTTGCGGAGCTAATGGGGAATTTGCTTCGTAACCTTTCTGAAATTCGCTTAGAAGCGCTTCGATTCTGCTCTAGTATGAATTGACCGTTACAATATCCTTCAAATTACCTCACTTTTTCCTAATGGGCAAAAAAATTAAAGATGTTTATTTTTACAAATATTTAATTTGAACTGTACACGACGTACGTACACATTTGGTCACCACAATAAGTACACCGTCCTTATGGCACCAGAACACAATACCAATTGGTACACATTACAAGGTCATCATTACATTACACGTGATTCTTCCTATAATACTAATACTATAAAGTACTTAGGGCATCGATCATTCCTTTCTTGGAAGTAATATTTATTTAATAACAATATATTCTTTTGAGTTTATATTACTAAAAACTTACGAGCAAAATCGCTGATCCTCGCATTAATAAAAATACCAATTATCATCAATTGTTAAAAAAAATGTAAATAAAATAATAGTCACACATAGATTCCAGGATTTTTTATACTTTAATTAGATTTTATTGCTCGTAAGTGTATATTGTCATTATCCTTTAAATACAATGGTGGATTGAATAAAATATTATTATATTTTTTATATGATAGTTTGGAGATATAATTGGCATACCAACACGATAATTATTAAGTAGTCATGACTAGTGGTTACCTACGCAGTCCATATGAAATGATACAGATCATTTTCTTAATCTTATTAGCTCTCCGGTAAGTATATTATTAATCCTAAGTATAAATAATAAACATATGTCTAATTCAAACGAAACAGTTAAACATTATCCCCCTTTTTAATAAACAAGGAATAAGCTTGGACTAGTTATGCCAATGCCATGTGTGATTCAATGAACACAGACAAGACATGGATTAACTAATCCAAGCCTATTCTTCGTTTATTATAAAGAGGGTTTGAGATTATTGTATTTGTTAAATTACAAACTACAGATATATTTGCCACTTAAAAAATCCAATAGATAAAATATTTTATTTTTAAATTTCAATATGGTGTTTAATATAATAAGCCGTTATCTAGCATTAAAATAAGAAAGTCAAAGTCACTAATAAAAATTTAATTAACAATTATATTAAGAGAAAAAATCAATAAATACTATTTCTAGGAATAATGAAATTTGTTAAATTTTGATGTAACCTTTACTGCGCCGCTGTCTCAATCAAAGGTCAATGACATTGAGGCAAACTGCTAAATAACGAACCAGTCGTTAAAGTAGACAGATAGTCGTTCTCAAGAGTATGTTATTACCAAATGCGTGCTTAACCCACCGGCTTTCGTTGTCCCAGGAACAAAATCATTCGCATGCGTAGACGCACGGAATTGTATTATTGAAGAATACACTAAACGAAAGCGTGAGATGGTTTATCGCAAAATATACAGGGTGTAGAAAAACCTATGACAAAGACTTAAACC